TGCTTTGTTTCACTACTGTGCATTTAACATGCTGCCAAAGTTGGGCAAGTCCTGCTCCACTCATTCTCCTAACTCTAGCTATGCACTCCTGCCACTTACCTTGGACCAGATCTCATGAATTGGTTCAACAACCTGAAACTAACTCACTGAAGCACTGAATTGCTTTGTTATAGAAACACACTTGACTGGCTTCTCCTAAAGCCACAAAAGCCATTAAATTTGAAGCAAACAAGACAGAGGAAACAGGTGCAAAAGGTAACAGCAAAAGGGGAGAGGACAGCATTGCCCCTTTTAGCAGTAATTTGCAGTTTTACCATGACAGGTGAAACAGAATGCTGCTGCCTTAGGAGGCAGCTCCACAATAACCAAACTTGATCTAAACTGGGCCTGCTCTTCCACTGACCCTAGCACTGAGTCAATCATGTGGGGCTACTAAGAAGGTTAAGGAAAAATGACTCAAACCACTTATTAGTTTTCAGGTGCTTCAGCTCTCCATTAAGTGGTTCCCTGAGACACTTCATGAGTGCTATTGCCAGCAAAAGAGTTGCAGCAACCACAACATTGGTTCCCTTAAATCACCATGGATCTGATCCTTTGATCTCATTTAACTTTTCCACTAGTTTCTAAACAAGGAAACATCTCATGATTTAGCTGTGTCTTGGAGGTAAAGCCTACTGCCTTGGTGCATTACTTCTCTCTGTTTATCATCACCCAGGGTAGGTAGACAAATAGGTTTGAGTTAAAGAGTGCTAAGAACTGCAAGATCATTCCTGCATTTAAGCTGACAGGCATTACTTTGTTAACAAAATAGAAGACACTATCCAGCATATTAATGAGTAATCAGAATATTAGCTCTATCATAGTTCCATGCATAGTAAATTCTACCTGGAGAAAGTAAAATACTTTTCAATTTTGCTTGAACCTCTCCACCTTGAAAAGTCTTCAAAAAGAAAGAATTCAACAAAAGAACATAACTTAGGAATGAGATTTGTGCAGACAGTACAAGCTTTAAGGAGTTGACCACGTAAGACAAAGTTAACTGTCACTCATTTCATTATTTCAACTGAAATAAGAAGGTTCAGCTGCTTCCTCTTCCATGTTTACCCTCATCCCTGCTCCTGCCTGAATACCTTCATCTCATAGCTTGCATCAACACAGAAATAAGTTAACCAGACTTCTTTGTGAGCAGGAAAGAGGGGGAGACAAAACAACACTCACCTTTTCAGGAGAATTAAGTTTTATGATACAAAGTCTACTTTGCTTTTCTACTTTAGGAAACTGTATTGTCACAAAAGAAGCTTTATAGCAGAACAGAGACAAATAAATGCCAAAGCTTAAGTTTTGAAATAAACATAAAAATTCAATTGTAAAACATCTTGCCATGCGGAATCAGCCACTTTTTATTCACTTTTCATCTTTGCAAAGTAATCAGATCAAATGCTATTGCCATCTGAGAACACATTCCTTAGTGTCCTAAGCAGATCTCACATAAACTTCAGTTATTTTGTAACAGGAAATGGGGGGATGATAATAGACTTATTTGGGAACCAAAAATGTGTTAAATGTTGCTTAGATATAGACAGCCAGTGTAATTAGATATTTCTAGCCTAATAGAGCTACATGAACAGATACTCATGGCTTTAATACCCAGAAAAAATAAATCTATACACCAATTCTAAATGCTCGAGATTAAGGTAATGAAAACATATCTATAAATTATCATCTGAGACTACCAACTTCTTAAGCAATGAAAACACATTCTTAAATATAAGGTACCCTGAATACATTAAATACAAATCTGAATATAATTTGTATTCAAGTTTAATAAAATCAATGTTTAGAACATTTTTCACAGTATATTCTTGATTTTACTCCCAACTCTTCTCCCTGACTTTGCCCATGCAACCTTAAACACAACAGAAACATATAAAACAAGATTTGGCAGTACGCAAAATAGAACCAAATAATGTCTTTGAAGATACAGCTCTGAAAACTTTACTCTGTAAACCCCGATTATGATAATGACTAGTACAAAGCAGACATAAATCATCTGCAAATAACTGACAACTTTCCTTGAAGAGTAACTCCAGCCTGAAGTTACATAGGATCTCGTGTTAGTACCATTATCCAAATTCTAGAGTAGAAAAAAGTGAGGTTTTGATCTCCCAGTGGAGTTCAATCATACTACATCCTCCTCTCTGCACAATCTGCGATGCCACTGCAGTGGTTTGCTCTTGTAAGCACTGCCTGTGGTACCCTTGACCCTGAAAAAATGGATTTTCATTAGAAAATAATGAAAACTCATAGTATTTCTGTCTTTTCAAATTTTCAAAATTTACATTCATTGCATCTAAGTTGCTTGCTAATGCAGACTACTCAAATGTACACACAGGACTTTGGGAGGAGGTCAGAACACTACAAATGTAAGCACTCATGGTTTGGTTGTTTTTTTCTTTTTAACAGAATGAGTTTGCATTAGAAAATAAGTTTTTCAGAAGAGTACATTTATGTTTTAGTTGAAAAAGTTGAAATTGTCAGTTTTCATAACTCATTATTCTGTAATTCCATAAAGATTTTCTATATTCAATGCATTATATCCATTCACTTTATTGCTGCCTTAAAAGACAGCTTTAAGTCTATTTATATGCATAATATATAGTTACTGTCTTACATACTTATTCAAAATGGCTCAGAATAATTAAAAAATAAACCAAATCTTTGGAATTTCCATTCAGTAAGAATTTAAATTTCTTGTTAGTATCACTTGTTTTACATACCAGTGTTCTTTCAAGAACTACAGATTTTAAAATAAAGTATATCTTGGAAGGAATCTGAGATACAGATATCCAGCAGTTCTGCATTTGCCACGCTTTTTGATATCCGTATACTGAGCAGGTCAGATAAAGTACAACTTTATTCAAATGGTCTACAAATTTTTTCAAGTTTATTTATAAAAAACTAGGTGCTTAGCTACAGATTATTAAAAAAACACCCAAACAAATACAAACTAACCAACCAACAAACCAAAAAAAAACCAAACCCCAAACAAAAACAAACAAACAAAAAAAGAAAATTGAAACCTAAGAGTAAGATGGCAAAAGTCTATTTTTATTTTAAAGAGCTCTAGTGCTGGTCATATTGGAACTGCTTGAGTTCATCAAGATTCAGAGTTCTATAAATATCTAAAGGATCAGGGCCTGCAAAAAGCCCCAATAAAAATCTATATAAAAGAACAGTGGAGAGAAATACATTGAAAAATGTATTAATATTGTATAAATCACTATTTTTAGCTCTGTGATTATTTCAGATTTCCTGCATTACATTTAAAAATAATTCCTGAGATGTCTTAATTCTTATGACACTTATTTAACAAATCTATTCATGGAAATCCTCTGTTTCAAAATGAATGTTGTTATAATTGTTCTAGATCTAGATGGAGACAAATGACAGACCAGCTGCTGTAATGGAATTTTTAATGAAATTTGCACATTTCTGCCTGATTACTGTAGTGATAGGACAAGGGGTAATGGGTTAAAACTTAAACAGGGGAAGTTTAGATTAGATGTAAGGAGGAAATTCTTTCCTGTTAGCATGGTGAGGCACTGGAATAGGGTGCCCAGGCAGGTTGTGAATGCTCCATCCCTGGCAGTGCTCAAGACCAGGTTGGACAAGGCCTTGGGTGAGATGGTTTAGTGTGAGGTGTCCCTGCCCATGGCAGGGGGGTTGGAACTAGATGATCTTAAGGTCCTTTCCAACCCTAACTATTCTATGATTCTATGATTGAGAATAGTACTGTGATCTACAGACAAACTGTTCAAAAAAGATGCAATCCTTAGGTCTGTCTTTACCTTTTAGGAAGAACTATCCTACTCTGCACAGATCTTTAAATGTTTATATTCTAAAAGTGGTACATTGTCAGCTGTGTATGTCCTTTGTTTCAAAAATGCTTTGTCTCTTCTGTAAAACAGATTGGTGTCTAAAATGATAAAAAAGACTTACTAATAGATAATCTGTCCCTAAAACTACAGTCTAAGCTTAGGGCAGACTTTCTGATCTCATCTGATATTTTATTCTATATCTCACCAAACACCAACTCTATTAATTTAAATATCCTTACTCACTGGAGTCAAGAAGGCAATCTCTAGATTAGAAAAACGGGGCCTGATCTTCAAAAGAACTCCACTTTGGATACCTAAATGGCAAGATTTTGAGGTGTAATTAGTATTCTGCAGCTTACATGAACAAACCTTTGCTACCGAATTCAGCACGAGCTGTTTTCTTTCACAGAACCTTTAAAATTCTGATTTTTTTAAAAGATTAAAGCAGAAAAATTAAAACACAAGTACTCCACTGTGAATTGCTTCATCTTCTAATGCTTGTTTAAATATTGATAAAGAAGAGTGTGTAGAAGGGGTGGGTAGTGCAGAAGGGCTGGAAGGTGTTCTTACCTGAACTTCTACAGTTTTCAAACTGAGTTGTGCCAAATAACCAGTAGCACAATTTGAATCAGAAATGAATCAGATACAAAACCCCACATACTATTTTTAGGAACACATGGTTAAAATCACAGAATAGCAAAACTCTTATTTCAAGTATTTCTTTTCACTCTAAGTTATTTAGTCTTTTAAAGTACAAAGCTTTTTAACTAAATGGTTATACTTCTTTAGTGTTTAGATCTTTTTGCAGTTGAGAAGGCGCTGGTTTTGCATCTCACTTAGTGTTGACTGTATAGACCTACTTGCACCACCACAAGAACCTCATTTCACATCAACCAACATGCTGCTGCATTATCAACATGTAAGCTCTGGCCACACAAACACTTATACGTATTCTTAATGCCAATACACTAAAGCCACTTGGTCACCACTGTAACATGGACAGATGTTTGATATAAGCCAGAAAGAGTAACTGATTTTTTGCTATCAAATATATATGAAAGACAGAACTTCCTTTGACTCACAAACCATAGACAGAGAAGTTTACGTTCAGGACTAACTCCATGTGTGATATTTTTGCTACTTAACTCTGAGAAAAACAAGTAATTGGTATCTAATGTTATTGTAGCCATCTATGCTTTTAAAGCATTCTGTCATTCTTGCACACACACTAATTAGCTATTTGTGCGCAGTTGGAAACCTTGTTAGGAATATTAGACTAATCTGGCCCCAACAGAGTCAACAGCAAAATACCCATTAATTGGACAGAATCACATCCCCTGTCTCAGGCACACTCCCAGGCATTCTGTTCTAATAATTCATGATTCAACCCTTTTTTTTTTTCTCATGCAAATGTTCACTGCTGTAATTTAAGCTCATTACTTCTTGCGATTTTCATAGAAGACCTAGAGGAAATTTAGCTGTCTTCATCTTTTACACTTTTGAACTCTTATCACAACAGATCTCTTCTGCACAGTCATATCAACCCCAATTTTATCATCTATATTAAAAAAAATAGGCAAACAATTTCAGGTAAGAAAACATAGCAAGACAAATATATTTAGAAAAAGAAAGTAGATCCCATTTTGGACCTACTATCTTTATATCTACGATAATATACAGTAAAACATTTTAACAATGGTCATTTATCATGTTCCTCAAGAGAACCAATAAAATGCAATGAATACACATCCTCTGATGTTGCACAGATACAAAATGTATAGTTTGTTTACAAACTAATTACTGAATGTAAAATGAAGCAACATTTTAAAAAAATATATTGGTAAAGGTCCAAAGTTTACATTTTCTAAAATATTATGTTCATGTTTTATTTACAGACCAGCTTTCAAGCAATTATTGGCATTTTAAGATAACTGCTCAACCTGATGAGTACATGAATAAAATGAAGCTGTAAAAAAAGCCAAAAAAAAAAAAAAAAAAAAAATCAAAATTCCACAGAACAGTTCCAAAACCACCATTTTCGATTTCAAGTTAGAAAAGCAAGATGTGATCTACCACATGGCAACTTACCAGAAACTGGTCTAACGCTTTCATATGCTATAGGTATTGCAAGTGACCAATGTTACCCAGCCACATGCCTAAGAGTGCAGGTTTTTGCCCATTCCAACTTCAAATGAAGCTTTGACAACTGCTGTAGTATTTACAAATTTAAAACAAAGGCTCCATATCCCTTTGGATTACATTATGACTGTTACTGTGTTTTCTTTTGTTGACTACACACAGCAGAATGCAATCCAAAGACCACTTACTTTGTTGAACCTCTGAGTTAGCAGTTAAACTAGCAGCATCTACCCAGCCTGTCTAGGAAAAAACAAAAAAAAACCAAAAAACCACAAAAAAAAAACAACAAAAATCAGGCAACTGTATGTAACAGGTATTAGTGAACACTGTTTCTGGGTCAATTAAGACTGAAGTCTCTCACTGAAGTCTCCCTCTTGCTGAAAGCTATTGTGTTGGAAGGCAGGAGTTCTTAAATTCAAACAGGACCTATTAGCTGGTGTGACCAGCCATGACACACATGCTGAGCTGAGCACTGTGGGCAGGTATGCAATCGCCCATGGCTGTGCTCTGCAGCTCTGGAGGTCTGGCAGTGATACCCTATCACTCGCCAGTACAGCTAGTCCTCCTCTGCTGTCAGAAACACTGTGGTGACAGGTTAGGTGAATAGAAAGCTGCATAATAAAAACTACAGCCTCAGGCTGTACTAGCTCGAACTAATTTCTACTGGATCCAGGTAAGGAACATGTCTCCTCCATGCTGCACCCTTTCTGCCTTGGGGCTCTGTCCCACCTCAGGGGATCTGCATAAAAGTGAGCATGGGAACAAATGAGGCAGACTCTTTCCCCACAGTTAACACTGGTGAATGCTGTGACCCTTCTGCTTTACTAGCTAGGACCACTGAATAATGCATTTTCTTCAGGAAAGCAAGTATTCCATTAAACTTGACACCCTGATTACAGTAAGAGGATATCTGAGGGAATGGAATAGGAAGCAATTTAATTTTGACCACTATCCCCCCTTACACTCTGTTGTATCAACCCCTAGCACCTACATTAGGTGAAAAAAGGAGGAATTAAAAAGCTTAGGGAATAAATGTCTGTTTCTCAAAAACTGTAGGTGTAACACCTTCACAATTATGAAAATCAAGTATTTCTTTTCCATGTCTGTTATTTTCTGAGATGTCAGCATTTTCAAACATAACTCACTGATTTCGACGTCTGCATCGTACGCAGTATTCCATGCTGGATGAAACAAAACATCAGCCAGTGATGATCCCTGTTTTATAGAGAACTTGATCTCATTCTCATATTAAATCAGGTATTAGTGCATTATACTGCTAATGACAGCAACATACTTCATATTCTAAGAATACCCATCTCTGAAATGTTTTAAAATGCCTAACCAAGCAACGCTATTTGTTACTATGTAGCATTCAAATCCTCTAAAAATGTTTTCTTGAAAAGATAATTCTCAGTCTAAATGCATACCAACAATAGATTTTGTCCAATTTAATTTCTTATATTATTTCTGATACAGTTTCTGCTTTAGCTTTTAACTGCAAGCTATAGTTTCTAACTGCTGCTCTGCTTCAGCAGCCATAGCTGCTGCCTGTAACTGTTCCGTTTCACTCTGGATGGAATTGGCTGTTGTAACTTGTTTTCTTTCACTGTGCATATTGTTCTCATGCCTTTTTAGATCAGATGCTTTAGCAAATGCTTTAGTGCAGGAACTGCAGACAAAAGGTTTCTCTCCTCGATGTCTTCTTTCGTGGTCTTTGAGGTGGGACTTGTGCTTGAAAGCTTTATCACACATATGGCATGCAAATGGCCTCTCATTACTGTGAACCCTTTCGTGCTTTTTTAGATCTGGTGCACGAATAAAAGACTTTCCACATACATCACAACTGTAAGGCTTGTAACCAGCGTGTATTTTCAGGTGCTCTTTCAAATGAGCTTGTGTGGTAAAGCCCTTCGTACACATTTCACAAACAAATGGTCTATCTGCAGTGTGTAGCTTTTCATGTTTTCTCAATCGTGCTTCATCAGAAAAGGTCTTACCACAAGCCTGACATACAATGTGTTCCCTGTGACCGTAAAGCAAATACTCAAACTTCATATCTCCAGCTGCTGTGGTCCAGCCTGGTGTCTGTTCATCTTTTACTTCACTTATGCCATCATTAAATGTCAAAGTCTGAGGGGTCTGAGAACCCAAGTCTTTTGATTCGGTTGTTTCCATGGGCTCTACTTCTTGGCCATAGCAGTTGACTTTTCGAACCTCTTCACTTCCCAACTCTTTCAGGATTGCCTCTTGCACTCTTAGGGTAGTGGTAGGTGATTTTCCATCTTCCTGACTTGGGGGAGTTCCTTCCACCGTCACATCTGAAGGACTGTCATCATGATCTCCAATTTCTTCTACCTCATCATCTTGGGTATCATTAGGTTCCCCCATAGGACGGTTTATTTTTAGACAGTACTTGGTCTTGGACTGCGTGTTCTCTTCAGGACTAGATACATCACGTTTCTGAGAGCAGAGTTTATCCAGAAATCGAATACCAAGAATCTGGCCTGAAGACATCATCAAATTTACATCCTCCTTCTTAACAGAAATCTTTGCAGTATACATGTAATTGAGAACCTCCTCAAAAATGTCAGAACGAAGAAAATCTATTTCTATTACTGATGAACTGTCAACTTCCAGTTTTTTGAAAAGCTTTTTGAAGTAGGTACTGCAGGCAGCAAGCACACACCTGTGTGCTCGGAATTTAACATCTTCAACCACGATAGCTATGTCACAAAATTCTCCTTCCAAACGTTGTTCATTTAATGTTTTCAGGAACACAGTTTTGTGATCATCGTCATTATATTTAATGGTTTCAGACATACTGATGAAAAACTCCTGTAAAATGACAAAGGAAAGTTTTGCAATTTTTATAGAGTAGTCAAGGTCATAAAATCCCCAAAGACAATGTCATTTACACACTAAAAGAATTTCCAAATCCTTTTTTTTTCTCAATATGACCAGAAAAAGCCTTTCAGATGATAAAAGCTTTACTCTCAAACTTTTTTTAAAATTGTGAATAAATACAGGTCTTTTTCTAGGTTAGACACTTTACAGTGATTTATAAAGGACTTTTTTTTTGTATGAATAAATTACTCGTTTCAGATATTTATTGATTTAGTTATCCAAAACTGTAAATTTCCTCTGAGAAGTTGTAATTCCCATCTGCAAAAGAAGTCATTTTTACAGCTAAATGACTGCTAATACTAAAATAAGGTATAAGAAATACTCTAAATGTATCAGCATAACAAACAAAATGTGAAATAACAAACACAGGCCTTACCATGAACAATGTGGGAAATCTTCTGAACAAATGATTATTAAATATTTGGCAGATTAACTCTCACAACAGGCCACCTTCGCCCTGAAAGACAGGAAGATAATAACATTTTAAGCAATTATAAAATCTATTCAAAAATTGGTTTCAAATTTGTGTCTTAAAACACAGTGTTTCCAATTATTTTAAATTATACAAAATGCACTGTTAAAATACCCAGTTAATCTGACAGGTTCTAGAGACAACTGCATAAATTGATCTGAAAGTGCTGCGGTCATAAACCATGTGTTTACTTGCCTCTGGCTACTTTACTTCCCTGACTCCACATCCCTGCTACTTACTTTGCACTACATCTAAAAGTCTGAAAAACTCCTCAACAGGAATCACCACCACTAACCCAGTAACCAACCCATCAAGAAGGTGGTGAGTCTTCTGCTGAACCAGTGGACTGAGCTGGCTTAGCAGAGGGCCTGGCAAGCAGACCAAGCACCCGAAAGGACAGCAGACTGGGCCGTGGATGGGGGTGCATTTCAGGACCGGGGAAAACGACACCAGAGATACCAGATCTCCAAACAATCATACAAACATAGAATAGTTTGGGTTGGAAGGGACCTTCAAAGGCCATCTAGTGCAACACCCCTGCAATGGGCAGGGACACCTTCAACTAGATCAGGTTGCCCAGAACCACATCCAGCCTGGCCTTGAATGTCTCCAGGGATGGGGAATTCACCACCTCCCTGGTCAATCTGTGCCAGAGTTTTACCACCCTCATCGTAAAAAAATTTCTTCCTCACGCCCAGCCTGAATCTCCCCTCTTTTAGTTTAAAACCATTACCCCTCGTCCTGTTGCAATAGGCCCTGCTAAAAAGCTTCTCCCATCTTTCTTATAGGCCCCTTTTAAGTACTGAAAGGCTGCAATATGGTCTCCCTGGATTCTTCTTTTCTCCAGGCTGAACAACTCCAACTCTCTCAGCCTTTCCTCACAGGAGAGGTGTTCCATTCCTCTAATCATTTTTATGGCCTTCCTCTGGACCCTCTCTAACAGGTCCATATCTTTCCTGCACTGAGGACTCCATAGCTGGATGCAGTAGTCTAGGTGAGATCTCACCAGAGCAGAGTAGAGGTGCAGAATAACCTCCTCCGACCTGCTGGGCGCACCCCTTTGGATGCAGCCCACTGTATGATTTGCCTGCTGAGCTGCGAGCGCACAAGGGAGATGCTTAAACAGCAAAAGGATAACACAAAACACATAATTGAAACTATTCAACCCCAATCTCCCACAGGCATCTAACTGTGATAGAAGCAGGAAATGCAGCAGAGAGGAGGGAAACTTAATATATGGTTGAGCAGAAACCCTCCATCACCTGACACAGAGCTATTGAGAGCTCCTTTCCTGAAGTCTAATCTTTCCTTGGCCATATACAAAATGGAAGTAGGTGACAGGCATACAACTTCCACCCACAGTGCTGGGTGTTTAACATGGTATGGGCACACTTGGCTCCCTACAAATGCCTTCGCATCTCAGCATATAGTGCACTGGTTACAAAAAAAAAAAAACCACAAACAAAACAAAACAAAAAACCCTAAGGAAAGTAAAAATTCTTTTCTTAGTCCTAAATAATAATATGTTAAGATAGCCAAATACACAAATATTTGAAATACACAAAGAAAAGCAAACCCAAAAAAACACTGTGTTCATTTTTCTTGGCTGTCTGGGTCTACTGTCCCAGGAAAATGCACCAATCCAGCACCAAACACAGCAGGACAAAACTATTTCAACAGTGTCCGTTTATAGAATTCTTTGCAAGGTGGGAAAAATGCTTTCTTTTTAAGCAAACAGCCAAAAGTCACTGTTGATAATCTAGCAGCAATCCCACCCTGTTTTGTTAAACGATATGCAATTTTGATGCAATTCTGCTGAGACTTCTTAAATCAGAACGATACAGATGTAGCAATTGGCTGAAAACAGTTTTGCAGAGTAGGCAGGGGCATGTAACTGTTGCGAAAAAGAGATACTACTCTGCGAGAAGAGTAGGGCAGGCACTTGACCAGAGTACCTCCAGCACCGACTGAAGCCAGGGGGTAACTCCCATTGCAACTACGTTACTTATTCCACGGGGCGATTCTAATTATTCCTGCACGCACACTTTACACACTACCGTTACCACCGCAGGAAAGGGGAAAATATGTCCTGTGTTTTCCTATATACCCGGTAAAATAGTTTTGGCAGCTCCTGCAGCTGCCGCCTGAGACAAGCTCGGTGCCTCACCGCGGCAGCTCTCCCGGCTCTGGAGCGGCGCTTACCGCCCTGCCTGTGCCCTCAGAGGCAGTGAGGCGCACGCCCGCTCCATGCACCCGCCACCGAGGACGCGGCGCAGGCGGGTTCCCGGCAGGGCGCAGCCCATCCCAGCCGGGCCGCCGCCACCCGCTCGCCGCCGCGGCCACGAGAACCCGCGCCGCCACCGTCGGGATCGGGCGCGGCCCTGCGGCAGGGAGACGGCGCCCGCGAGCAGCAGGCGGCCCCTCTCCAGAGCGAGCCCGGCGCCACCGCCGCCCCGCGCCGCCTCACGGGACTGCGCGGAGCCGGCGCCTCCACCTCCCTCGCTCCTCCCTCCCTTCCCCTCCCCAACGGTTCTCGCGCGGCGCCCGCGCCGCCGACAGGCCGCGGCCGCGCGCCCCTTTGTTGCGGCCGCCGCGCGGGGAGCGCGCGCCCCAACGTGCGCACCCATCGCTGGACTTGTCCTCGCCCTCCGCCCCCCACCCCCCACCCACCGCGCGCGCTGGAGGCAGGCGCACGACGTGCTCCGGGCTGCTGCTGCTGCTGGCGGCGGCGGGCGCGCCCGCGGCGCCTCCATCTCACCCAGCGCCAGCTTTAATGGGGCTGATGGAGGCGGCAGCGGCAGAGCGCGGGGTCTGGGAGGGTAGCGCGGGCGCGCGCACCGCAACGGCGGTCCTGCAGCTGGGCGTGAGGGGAGGAATGGGGGGGTTGGAGGAATAGTGAGAGGGCTCGCGCTTACCTGCCGCCCGCGCGCGCGCGGACCCGCACTTCCCGGGGAGCGCGGGGGGCTGCCGGTGCCGCTGCCGCCACCAAGCGGGAGGGGGCCGGGGATAAGGGGGGAAAAGGAAGGGAGGGAAGGATGGAGGGAGGGAGGAGGGGGGAATTTGGGGAGGGGGAGCCGGGGGGGGGGGGGAAGGGGGCGTCCGCGCGCGTCTCTCGGATCGTCACCGCCGCCTCCTGCACGAGCACCCAGTGCGCGCGCGCGCGCCGGGGGCGGGGGTACGTGCATGCGCGGTGCGGGTAGGGCGCGCCTGTGCCGGGGAGCGTGGGGGAGGCGGGGGCGGTGGGGAGAGAGGGGACTGCGCCCGCTCCATCGGCCTTCTCGGCGGGACAGCATCGCAGCGGCTGGGCGGAAGAAGGGGAGCTGGAGCCGGCGCCGTGGGGCCTAAGGGCTGCCGTCGCCGAACGGGAAAGCCGGGCGATATGTTCCACCCGCGCCTGCGCTCGCGTGTGCGAGACCGGCGGCGGCGCTCCCCTCCTCTCTCCACCCCAGCTGCCCGCCCGTTTGGCGGCGCGCGGCGCGGGCTCGGCTGAGACGCGGGGAGCGAGCCGGGAGGGAGCGGCGCTAGGAGGGGCGGGGCCGCGCCGGGCGGGCAGGAGGCGGCGCTCGCTCGCTCGCTCGCGGTGGCGGCGTGGAACGCTCGGAGCTCGCGCCCGCAGCGCCAGCGCCGCGGCTCTGAGAGGATCGTTGGGGCCCGCGCGGCCCGGGGCGGGGAGGGACGGGGGGGTTAAAATGCGGTTGGCGGCGGCCCCGGCTCGGGGTGAGGGCTGCACTGGGACACAGGTCTGTGGTCAGATCTAAGGGAAAAGCCGCTGCGTCTCCTTCGCCATGTGCTCCTCGGGCAATGTGTGGTGGCCCGGTCTGTACTCCGGGATCTGGGGCAGTGAAGCTACCGCTTCATCCTCATATATTGCCAGGGAGGCAACGGCTGTAATGGACTGGACCTGGGGCTGTGCAGCCTCCGAAGACTAGGAGTGCTCAACTGCTGCAGGTGTCCTTTCTGCCGTCAATGCATCCAAACTCTGGGTCATGGCCTGCTCTTCTGCAGGTTGCTGGCTAATTCCCTGCACCCCAGACACAGACTGTCCCATAGGTTCCCTATCAATGCACCTGACTGCATGCTGCACAACTGTGTCGGTTGCTGTGAGGTGCTGCAGAGCAGGTGCTGGGCCCTGTGTATGTACTGCTCTGTGTGTGAGCCTGCTCACCAAAGCCAGTAGAAGTTGGTGCCTTTGACTTCATCTCAGCCACATCCCTGAACCGGAACTTCTTCAGACTGTGCCTGGATATAACCTGCAGATCTGTGCAATTTTCTGTGGGGCTGTGCTGCTGTGTCTTGCTTGCCAGAGCCAGGGGAACCTCTGGTGCTTTTGACTCCTTTTCGACCACATCCCTGAACCAGATTTTTTTTTGTGGTGCACCTGGATGTGACCTGCAGAAGAGTGTAATTTTCTGTGGGACTCTACAGTGCAGGAGTCTGGCTTTGCACATGTGCTGCTGCAGCCAGGTCAAGTTGGTCCCTGTGCCACAGGAGCAAGTGGTGCGTGGTTCTCCTCTTGTTCAAGAGCTTCAGACATGCAGCTCTTCTCCACATCTCTCAAGGCTTCATGTTGTTGGAGTGGATGGCTAGAAACTGTGCAAATGCCTTCTGGTGCAGGCCCAGTGACTTGCTGTTGAGGCAGCCCTTGATGTGAGCGGGCAGCATTGCTGGGTTGTGCTCTGCCACTCTCCCCAAGTTTCTCCTCTGGAAGCACTAGTGCCCCCATGAACATGAGGATCAGGTGCAGGCTGATTGGTGGGAGTCTTCCTGCCATCGGCTGCCCAGACCTTGTCTGTTCTTGTTCTCATCACCGGAGCCCAGCAACATGCCCAGTCCTGCCGTGCTGCTGGCAGCTAGCAGGGTCCCTGGCATCCTGTACAGTCCTTGCTCAGAACCCTGCTCACACTGTGTGTGCCCTTCACCCCTGCGGATTAGTCAGCGGGGCTGTGTGGGGCGGGCCTACTGCTTTCCAGCCACGCAGCTCTGATGCCTTCAGTGCGGATGTGGCACAGCTGAGCAGCAGTTGGGACAAGCTGTTGGTGGCCACTGCCTGTGCTGCTGCTGGCTGTTTCGCTGGTACTGGCACAAAGTGCACGGGGTGCTGGTGTCACAGGCGGCAGCTTGCCGCACCTGCTGGTAGCTCTCGCTGCCTGAGCTGCAGGTGCCAGCTGAGGTGCCGCTGCTGGAAATGGTGGCAAATGGACTGTCTCCTGGTGTGACACGACTATGTGGGGCAGTGCCATGCAGTGCCCAGGCTGCCTGTCTGCAAGAGCAACTGAAGAGTGAAACACTTTTCCTATGAAATTACGCTGTTCCCAGCTAATGCAGGTTAACATTCAGGCTTTGATGTCATTTTGCTGTTTTCCTATCTGATACACCAGACTGGAGATACCGTTGAACTTTTGAACCTACAGGCTGTTTCCAGACTGTTTGAATTGCAGGGATATCTGTGGGGAAAAGTGCCCTTTCTAGCATGCGCTTGGCTTGTTAGGAAGTTGTGTAACTGGAGGGAAAAATGGTAAGTGCCACTTTCTGCAGACACGTGTGAAGCACTGGAGGTGGCATGTGGGAAAGGCTGAAGGTTTGTGTCTGGTGTGTTCTAAGCGGTGACTGGTTTAAAATGTATTTGAAGTGTTAGTGGGTTCTTGTGTGTTTGTGATGGTTAGATTCATAAAGTCTGAGTTCCAAGTGACAATACAAGCATTGCAGTATTATGGCCAGTTTTCGTTTATTCAGATTGTATCTTGGTCTTGCAGGAAAGGTCACCATACAAGAACATAGATTATTTGTGTTCGCTTTTCATGGGTCAGATTTCTCTTCAGGCTGAGTGAAAGTGAAGATACAAAATGTCCAGTATTTGTGAAAGGAAATCACAGAGCCTATTAGCATATTCCCAAGAGTCAGCAAGGACAGTCCATGTAAGCCTCCTGAGAGTGAAGTGACTGTGCTAGGACAGAGGAGGACAGTCAGGGAGCAGATGCTTCTTGCAGTGTGTGTTTCCCTTAGCAACCTGGCAAATTTGCGTGCGAGTTAGTCATGTTTTCACATCATTTACCCACTTCTGTACTTTCAAGATAAAAGAAAGATGGAATAGCAGAGACAAATGAGGAGGAGCAGAGGTTAGATGATGGAGGTTGGCAGTACAACCCCTGGCTAAGCTGTATGAATAGCGATGGTGAGAGGCCATCTCACCATCTGAGTAAGTGGTTGAAGAATACTTACAGTTTGCACCTGTGCCAGCAGGGACACAAGTCCTCTCTAGAGACCCTGATCTCTCAGATCTTATTTAGTAGTATTGAATTCTAAGCAGAAGAGCATTTTAATTATATACTTTTCTTACCAATTCTTTCTAGTACATGCTTGTGACATGTTTATCTACCTACAGTCATGTATAGTAATGCGTGATGATTGATGTTTGTCAACTGTTGTGGTAGGTAAGAGATGTGTATATGTGAACGCAGCAGTTTGTGCTTTGTGCATGCACAAGGCCCTCCATATTCTTTCTGTTTCTAAAGCAAAATAGTGTGGTTTAGCTGTAACTTGCATAACTTCACACACTTTTTTACTCTCCCTCTTGGAAGGTCTCTATCTCTGTTCTCATTGCCTTCTTTGGGGGTATTTTTCTTCATGTTTTGGGGTTTGCACTCCTTTTCTTTACTATTTTTTTCTATTTCTTCTCTATGATCCATCACTCTCTCATTTTGATTTTCCTTTGTTCCTTTTCACTGTCAATTACCTGACTCTAGACCCACTTGTTGACTTTGTCTCACATCCTTAATTGATTGGAACCATATGACAGTGAGTGAAGAAGGATGGATGCCAATTTCCAGTGCCAAGTACCAGAGGAATATGAAACTTCCCTTTCTCTTCCTTTCCTGCAGCATTCTGTCTGGGTTTCCTTATGTTACCTTCCTGCCTTATTCCGTCGTGATCCTGTACTCTGGTGCTGAAGCTGAGAAGTGCTGCTAGAGAGCAGCAATGTCTACTGTCTGTCATCCAAAGCATCCTCTTTTGAAAAGAGGACACTAAGGAGATGCAAGATCTCCCAGAGGAGAAAGAAAGAGTGGTACATATATTTGGATCCTTCATCCTAGGTAAAGATGTTATCCAATGAGCAAGAGCCTGAAGTTACACATTCCATTTTAACCTGAATATTTCTTGACTTTTAAGTATGTAAAATATAAGCAGAATAAAAGACATTTTGGTGAATTAGTTAATATTCACTAGGCGAGAATTCCTGTTTGTGTTGCAGACCCAATGTTATGAACACAATCCTAAGAAATGGCTGATCCACAAGAGTATAACAGCTTCTTCATGCCTGATCTATCAAAAAACCCCATATTTCTCATTCACAGGTCAGGTATATCTTTTGCTTTACAGAGCACATGTGCCATCTGGTTCTAGAAGACTAAGCCAGCGGTTTCAGTTTCAGCCATATTTCATGTGCAAGGCAGAGTCTTTCGGTATGCAGTTAATAGAAGAGACTACCACTCTGTGAATTATTTACATGATGTCCAGCTTGTGTAAGTAGGGCAGACAGGTTTCTTTTTTTTTGATGAATGATGTGCTGGTGTGAGAATGGGCAGAGCAAAACAAACTCTCTCTGAGGTGGAGTTGTGGTTACCAACTTATCATGTATATCATCATGGCTATGCAAAAGTAATCTTTATTCAAATGTGAATTTGTGGACATAGCATTTTCTGCAAGGAACGAAGCTTGCCAAATGTGAACAAGTACCGCTTACTGTGATGTATTTAGCTTGTCAAAACCCTAAGCCTTTATCTGATGTTTGAGTACTGGAAACTGTTCTTCATAATTATGGGTAGGCTATAAATGAAAAATCAGGCATCTCACAGCTACAGCCCTCTATCTCCCTCCAGCCTCATTCTTTGTCAACCTCATGTTTTGTTATTCCTGAAAGGTAGATGTTTATGGTTGCAGCAAAAACAACTCATTAAATTCACCACTGCTATTTTGTTATTTAATGCTCTATAAATAAACTAAAACCAGTACCTAATTTGATAGTTTCACAAGAGTCAGCTA